GCAAAAGAAGGGGAGTGATTGACTTTGCAGTCTAAGAGCGGAGGTCCCTGGGACTATCAAGAGAGAAGAGCTGAGAGCGGGACCCTACCCAGAGAAGCAGCAACGCCAGAGATGGAGGCAGAGATGATGACATGGAGCGATGGAGCAGCTGGGGACTTTAGACCCAGAGAGGGGCTATGTGCTGAAAACCACAGGGCAGGCTTGCAGGGTATACCCTTTGATTGTTTGATGATGCATGGATGGGATTGTAACCATGGCAATGAAACGATATATGATAGGATGAATGTAAAGCTAATGTTCTCCCATGTAAACTATTACATAATTCACAATAAAACATTTAAAAACCAAAACAAAAAATAAATAAAAAGGTTAACCCTTTGGGTAAGGTAGAATCCCCATTAAATAGTTTTCCTCTTGTCCAGATGAGTCTTGTGATAGGGGATGGAGGATGGTAGGGGTAGGATTTTATCAATCAGTCATGAGTAATTGTTATCGGAACAAATTGTGATTGTCACAATTGTAAATGTGGAAGACGTGTAACTAAAAGGAGGGAGCAGATCATCTTTCGTTTCTGGAACAGAAGATTCTAGGACCTCTAGGACCATTCAGAGGAAAGAGCATGAATGGAGCCTGGGAGCCTAACCAGAAAAGCAGAGGCAGCAGAGCTGGTGGCAGAGGTGATGACATACAGAGTCAAAGCAGCTGAGGATTCTAGGCCCATGGAATGAGAACATCTGTGTGTCTGTGGGCAAGATGCTGGCTTGTGAAATGTGCCCTTTGGATATCTAAACGAGTATATATTTTCTGTGTGGTATGTATACAAAAGAAAAAAGGGGGGGAGGTGGGAATAGAGGTAAATACTGTTAACTGATGGTACGTGGAGGGGATTATAATCATTTCAATTAAACAAAACATGATTTGTTGAATGTAAATTAATGATCTGCCCTGTAAAATTTCACTCGATTCACAATAAAAACTTTAAACCAATAAAAAAGATTATCCTTTTGTTGTTGTTGTTAGGTGCCATCAAGTCAGTACTGACTCATAGCAACCCTATGCACAACAGAACGAAACACTGCCTAGTCCTGTGCCAACCTTACAATCGTTTGTTGCTACATTTGTGCCCATTCCTGCTGTCACTGTGCCAATCCATCTTATTACGGGTCTTCCTCTTTTTCTCTGGCCCTCCATCTTACCAAACATGATATCCTTCTCCAGGGACTGGTCCCTCCTGACAATAGGTCAAAGTATGAGAGATGAAGTTTGGCCATCCTGGTCTCCAAGAAGTATTCTGGCTGTACTTTTAACACAGATCTGTTTGTTCTTTTGGCAGTTCATCGTATTTTTTTTATTTGTTTTGAACCTTTAATAAAAGTAAAAAAAGAATGCAAAAAGAACACATGTTGAAAACTTAGTATGAATGTGAATTTCACTAAGTTCAATTCTGGGATAGTGCAAAATTTGTTCATACTATTTTACAATTTTTACAAACTCAAATCACTTTGGTTCATATACTTGCTATAAATTATTGGCAAAGAAATTCTTCAGATTCACATTTTTCAGCTACATTATTTCTAACATAGATTTCCAGCTGAAGAGAAAAAAAA